CGGCACCCGTGACATCCGTCTTCCTCCTCTGTGCTGTGGAAGAACAGAAGAGCCGATCCCTTCAGCAGCATGGGGACTCTTCGGTGTAGCTGCATCCTTCCCGCTGGCTACCGACGACTCCACTGCTTCCTCCCGGAGCTCCTGGCATCCAGCAGAGAGGGGAAGCCTCTCAACCAGCTCCCCTGGGCTGGGAGTGCCTGTGGGAGTCGTCTCTGCATCACAGTCCCCCCGGATTCTCTCAGGTCTGCCGACAGTGGCAAAACGCCTCTGCCACTTGCCGCTTGAGAAAGGAAAGGGGGGGGGGGAGAATGGGGTGAATTTTTAAGCTACCTGTTCCTTCCCTCCCTTCACTTTGCCGTCTTCTGCCTTCTTCCCGGACCAATGTGCTCCACTGGAGCACAGCCTGCAGTGTCCTGCTCGAAAGGCAGGGCTGGAGAGACTGGGAAGCCAGGGAACAAGCCCCTCCCCTCCAGGGCCAAAGAGCCTGCCGGCCCGGCCTCCGAAGAGGAGGAGCTCTTTCCCAGGAGTAAGGAGCCTGGAGGACTGCCCCACTCCTGGACCACCGGAGAATCAGCATGGCTTCTACAAAGAGTAATCCTGCTGTCTCGCCTACCTTTTGAAGAAGTGCTTTGAGAAGTGACCAAGCATATGTAATCTGCGGGCGCCTGGACGTTCGACAGAGGGTGGTGAGAAGAACCACAAAAGGGTGGATGCCGGAGGCAGAGCCATCCACAAAACGTCAGAGAATGAGGTTGTGTATAACTAACAGCAGCTGTTCAGTATTTTGGGCAAAAACTGTTTTAGCAGGATACCTTTTAAAAATAACCATTCAGTTCCAAAATACTTTCTTACCTTCTGTAACACCCTGAAGACCCTTGGGCTGTGATCCAGCTCCTGCCTAAAGTTTTTTTTAAAAAATCTAAACGGTCCATCAGCTCTCCAAGCGGCTTATCAGAAACCCTGCTGGGTAAAAAAAACCCCCGCGAGCACTCTGCCAGCTTTATGAGAATCCCTGGCAGGCACCTGGCTCTCTCACATACACGCACGCACGCCATGTCATGTATGCATTTTCTTGTGTATAAACCTGCAGCTGGAGGTCATGGGGGACCTCTGGGGACTGACCCCTACTGGGGGCCTGGAGGGTATTCAGAGGGGGGGCGGCTGAGTCAAGCCTGTCCCTCCAAGGAGGTCCCCCATCCAAGTTCTAACCTGTCGACTCTGCTCAGCTTCTGAGATCTGATGAGACCGGGCTTGCTGGGTCAGGGTCTGGCTCCCATATTCCAAAAGGCTTTTGACAAAGAACCATGACTCAGGAGTAAGAGGCAAAGCAGTGGGGCGAGAGGATGAATCCATTTCATGTCTTAAAAACTGGTTAAATGACAGGAAGCTGAGAGTGAATAAATGGGACCGTCCTTACAATGGTAGAAAGTAAGCAGTGGGGATCCAGCAAGGATTGGTTCTGGGGGGCTGGTACTATTTAAGTGCATAACTACCACCTGGAACGGGATAAGCAGCACAGTGTCCAAGTTTGCAGACAATACAAAATTATTCTGGATGGTGAAAACCAAGGCCAACTGTGAAGAGCTCCAGGAGAATCTCCACAAATTTAGTGTATAGGCCAAAATGTGGTGAATGAAGATCGGCATAGGTAAGTGTAAGGGGAGGCACACTGGACCCCCCCCCCCCCTCAAGTGCCACCTAAGTAGGGTCCGAACTGACTGAGACTTTGAGCCGGTGGGGGACGGCTTGATGGAAGTGTCAACCCCAGCGTGCTGCAACAGTGGAGAGAGACGCCGGGGGGGGGGGGGTCATTCAGGAAAGGGACGGAAAACAGACCTGCTGGTGTTACAACGCCCTCATGCCACAGACCTATGGCACGGACTCATGGGAAAGGCTGCATGACCGGAGCGGTCACCAGACCTCAAAAGGGACATTGCAGAGCCGGAAAAAAATACCGAAGAGGTCAGCCAAGGTCGCCAGGAGGTTAGAGCACCTTCCCTAGGAGGAAAGGCTGGAGACACTGGGAGTTCTCCACCCGGAAAGCCACGCGTCAGTCTCTCACACTTCAGCCTGTCTTTGTCTTTTTCACTGCAGGTGCAAGAAGAAGAGGAGATTGGATCTATACCCCATGGCCCTTCACTACCCAAAGGTGTCTCAGGGCGGCTTACAAACTCCTTTCCCTTCCCCTCCCCACAACAGACACCCCCTGTGAGGTGGGTGGGGCTGAGAGAGCTCTGACAGAAACGGCTCTTTTTTCAAGGACAGCTCTGACAGAACTGTGGCTTGCCCAAGGTCATCCAGCCAGGTGCAAGTGGAGGAGGAGTGGGGAATCAAACCCGGTTCTCCCAGATTAGAGTCCGCGCACTTAGCCACCACACCAAACTGGCTGTCACACCAAACTGTGAATGTCATGGGTTCATTGTAACTGTACCTCAGTATTCCTCCTGGACCTAAAAGCTTCTCTGCAGGACAGCAAACACCCCCCCCCCCCCGGTACTTTTCCTTTCTTCTTAAGCAGGAGGGAAGCTGAAATGACAGGCACTAATCCTCTGAATCCTCCCAATCTCTCTGCCCTGTTGCTGGCCCTCCAGAGGTTAGGGTTAGTTCCAGAGGAACTGGCTGGCCGCTGTGTGAGACGGGAGGCTGTACTAGATGGACCCTCACCGGTCTGACCCAGCAGGGCTCTTCTCCTGAGGTTCTTATGAGGCTGCTTGGCTCACCTGGTGTTCTAACCCCACGCGACTGGTGGAAGCCTGGAATGCCTTCACTTTCACACATGAAGGTGGCTGTGCTTTTCCTTAAAGATGCAAAGCCAAACCAAAGCAAGCAGATCCTGGTCAATTAATAACCTGTCATGTTATCATTAAACCAGTGAGAGAAGTGGATGGAGGCACCAACCAACTTACAGAAAGCATTGTGGAGGAGAAAAAAGCAACAGCAAGCCACACAGACACTCACTCTGTCACGAGAGTCGAGTATTTTACCTAGACGAAGGGGGGAGGAAAACCCCAGAAAGATTGGCACTTGAAAGATAAATACCTCAACAACAACATGCGGTCACTTTCCACTGGGCCAGACCACTGGCCTCACAAGGACCGTCCTGTCTGTCTCCTCCGACTGGTGGGGGTGTTCCGGCAGAGAAGGGCCTTCCACATCACTGACTAGTTGACTCCTCTAATTAGCGGTGACTCCGGGGTGTTCGGCCCCACCCTGAGCACAACCCCTTGGCCTGCTGACCTCTACGGAACCCACCAGGGCACCGAGCCAACTAGAAGCATCCTTCAACGTATTTTTACCAGCTTTATTAAAAACTCCAGCACATTTTAAGTTTCTTCTCTCTGATCACAAATAGAGGCCTCTCCCCCCGCCCCCCCATTAAGTACACAAGATGAGACATGGCATTGGGGCTTTCTGTCCTTTTTGTGGGTTGGGGTTTGTACTCACAGACCAAAGCTCAGGATGGGCACCTGAAGTGCCGAAGCCCTGCAGGAGGAGTCCAACTGTTTCCTGTAACAGCTCACTGAGTGGGGCGGAGGAGATCCTGTCGTGCATCTTACTCAAAGTTACAAAACAGACAAAGGAAGCAGCAATTCCCCACACAACAACTCCAGCAAGCCAGATGCTCCGCCCAGAGTACCAGGAGCCAAGTGTCATTTAAGCCCCGTTCTTCTGCTCTGTCACCACCACCACCCCGACCATTCTTCAGCACCCCTCCCTGTGTGCGACGAAGACGTCTGTCCCCTCTCAGCATTTCAAAGGGGTCCAGACTCAATTCGGGAGGTTCAACTGGTGACCCTTCTCTAAACGCCAAACTTAAAAATAAAAAGGTGGTTAATCATTTATTCCCATTAAATCTGGAGGAGGAAAAGGGGAAACCCAAGTATGGGTGGTGTGTCCCCCCCCCCCGATCCAAGAGGCCCCCCCAGAGATGCTGTCTGCAGAGTCCACTGGCCAGAGGGCTGTGTCATGAGGGCATGAATAACTACAGCCATAGCATTACAACGAGCATGATTCAAAATAGATATAAATAAATTAAAAACCTTAAACATTCTTACATGGATTTAAAGGAACAAAATACATGTTAAAAAACTTCAGTAATTTATATCACTTTTAAGCAATACTTTATATACAATGGAAAAAAAGACATGCATAGTCCAAATACAATGTTGAAAACAGCATTTTCATAACAAAAAACCCCAAACACTAAGAGTTAATACCATGTACATGAGTCCGAAGAGGCCCCACCCCTTTTTGTCTGTTGCAGTTTATTTAACAATATGCTGCAGAAGTAAGAAATTTCTGTCCCCCCTTCTATACAGTGATTGAATCTTGTTGAATTTTCCGTATTTATAATTATAGAGCTTGCATGATTTACACTAAAATTGCTTTTCCTCATTTCAAGTTTCACATCAAATAATGAAAGGAAAGAATCTGCTTCTGTATTAAAAGTAGCAGTCTAAGAAGTGATCATCCCTATTCTTTTTAATCTAAGACCAGCTTCATCAGAGAAACAAAGCATCCGTTTCTACACCTGCAACACGTGTGCCTGTGTGTGTGCAGGAGTCGGTTCCTATCTTTTTCCAGGGGTAATAATACTTCAGATACCTGCTGCTGAGTACAGAAAAAAAAACCAAAACCCTTTCTGCAACACGTCAGAAAGTGAGCAGGGTACATCAGAATGCTCCATTATTTCAGGAAAGTTTCCAAATCATATTCTTTTCTTGAACACAAATGCTTAGTCTTGAAAGTACAAATAAAATTATGAATATAATGGACTTGTTTTCCCCTTTTTTAAAAAAAGAAAAGTCAACGGTAACAACAGAACAAAAGAACCCACAACAACAACATCAACAACTGAGGAAAGGAGACCAGGTTATTTGAACCACACCTGGTTGGCTTTAACAAAAAATATATATTCTTTGCACTTTTTTAAAACAGCAATTTGTCACATCTCCCCCCCCCCTCGGTGGGTGGGTGGGTGGTTGGGGGAAGAGCCAGTCTCACCACGTCAAGCACGAGAGATGTCTGTCTGCAGCCCAGAGGGGGCGCCCCGGGGGGGGGGGCACAAACTTCTCCAGCGTGTCGCCTCCCGTAGTGTCGCCCACCAGGGCCAATTCATTGGGTAACACATTCCAGCTGGGGGGGTTGAGCTGGGGCAGCATTGCACTTTGTTCGGGGTGCCCCTGCTCCAGGGAGGCGGCCATTGCCACGGCCAGCCCGGGGTGCGGGGAGCCGGTCTGTGGAGAGGCGTGGTGAGGGGAGGGCTGGGGCTGCAGCCGGGGCGACGGGCTGGAATGTGGCGGCTGGGACTGGGGGCGGGGAGACGGCACTGGGGCCGGGGACCGCACCTGGCTGCCGAGGGAAGGGGTGATCTGCTGGCCCGGGAGGGGAGGTGCCGGCGGCTGTCCTGAGAGCAGGTGCTGCTGGGGACTCATGGGGTTCGGCTGAGCCGGGGAGCCGATCTGCTGTTTCAGCTGCTGCTGCTGCTGTTGCAGGATGCGCTGCTGCAAGGCTTGCTGGATGTTGGGGCTGCCGTCCGTTCCCATTGGGTTCAGCTGAGCCATCTGGCCCAGGGCTCCCCCCTGGAGCGAGAGGCGCTGCTGCTGCTGCTGCAGGGCTTGGGAGTAGCCTCCCGGCCCCGGGGGCTGCTGGAACTGATTGTGAGCCGTGAGGCCGGGGCTGCCCTGCTGCTGCTGCTGCAGCAGCTGCCGTCTCAGGAGCTCCCGGTACTGAGGGCTCATGCCGGCCATGCTCGCGCTGTGGCTTGGGGTCAGAACCGCCTGGCCCTGGGCATTCAAGCCTCCCATGCCTGGCTGCTGAGGAGGAACCCCGGGCCTCTGGCCCCCAGCCTGCAGCGCATTCAAGTTCTGTAAGCCAGACGGAGCATGCAGACCAGTCGGAGGGGTTGGCGGCGGTGTCTGCAGGGGCGGCTGGGGTTGCTGCATGCCCGGCTGATTTGCTACGTATTTGGCTGTTCTCTGCTTGATAAAAGCGGCCATGAGCTGAGGGTTGGACTTCAGAATGTTGAGCACTTGCTGCTGCTGCTGGGGGGAGCTTGGTGATTTCAAAGTCCGCAGCAACTCCTGCAAAGCGTTTGGGGGGATGCTGCGGGGCGACGGCTGCGGCACGCCTGGCATCCTAGGCCCAGCTACGGCTTGCTGGGCGGCCATGGGCACGCTGGGCCTTGGCATTCCCGGCTGCAGGGGCTGCTGCTGCTGCTGCTGAGGCAAGGGAGCCGATGGCCACTGTCCGGGCTGCAGGCTGGACATCACTGGGCCGCTTACCGAGTTGGGCCGGGGTACATTCATGCTCACCTGCTGTGGTAGGACAGCTCCTACTGCTGGACTCGCCATGCCCGCTCGGCCAGGAGGCAAGCCGTTGCTGCTAACGCGGTACAGCTGCTGCTGCTGCTGGGCAGCTTCCATTTCTATTTGCCGAGCGGCTTCCACGGCTCCTGGGGGAGGCTGGGAGGGAGGGGGGCCCACAGCCACCGGGGTGGCAGGCTTGCCTGCGGATACGGGTGGTGGTGGTGGAGGCTGAGTCCTGGCCCCGCTGGGAAAACCAGCTGAAGAAATGCTGGCGGGAGAGGGCTGGGGGGGAGGCTGGGGGGCCTGGGGGGTGCTGGGCTGCTGCGTCGGAGTCCCAGGAGTGGCTGAGGTAGGAGAAGGCAAACTTTGCTGAGGCACGTTGCGGGTGGTCATGGTGGCCATCCTTCGCCGCATCAACTGTGCCTGCTGCAGGCGGTGCTGGAGCTGCTGCTGGCGGAGCTTGTGTTTGATGTTGAGACAGAAGGGCACGGGGCATTTGTTCTCCTGGCAGTGCTTGGCATGGTAGCAGCAGAGGGCAATCAGCTGCTTGCAGACGGGGCAACCCCCATTGGTCTTGCGCTTGCAGCCCTTGGTGTGCTGGACGACCCGCTTCATCTTCTGGCAAGACGGCAAGGAGCAGTTGGCGTTGCGGCACTGGCAAGCGTGCACCAGGGACTGGATGCAGCGCTGGATGCTCAGGCGGCGTGACTCCTGCGGGCTCTTTGACTGCTGCTCCCCTTGGCTGTGGCTGTCGTCGTCCAGGCCCAGGCCCCACTTGACCATTTTGTGTTCATGGCTCTTGGTGTTGTAGCAGTTAATGCACAGGTCGTAGTCCTGACAGGCAAAAAGAGAGAAACGCACAGGTCAGGCGCCCTCCAAGGCTGCTGGCGCGGGGCTGAGGCCGGCTTTGGGGAGGGGGGACATTCCCAAACCCCGGGGGCTCACCCCTGCCGTTGACCTGTCCAAGTCAGAGATGTTCCCTCCCAAGTGGAGTCCCTGCCATCTCTCTGCTCCAGGGGAGGAAGCAAGAGGTGCTGCTCGGAATGCCTAGAGGAGGAGTTCCCTGCGTTCAGGGGTCCTCTCAGGCCACTAAGTACTCCTCCAGCTGCTCCCCAAACATGCAAAGAGGGAACCCATGCCGGGCTTTTGGGGACGGAAAGGCAGGCATGAGCTAACCTGGGGCCATTCAGCCCGGGAAAGGTGCCCTACTCACCTCACAGACCGTGCAGTGCCACCGGGTTTCCACATGGTGCTTGCACTCATTGCACGTGTAGACAAACCGGTCCTGCCCTTGGGTGTGGAGCTCCACCAGCATACACAGCGTGGACCACTTGGAGCGACGCAGCGAGGAAAACTCCCAGTGCTTGTCCCGGGCCAGGGTGAGGAAGGCGTCGCGGCCGTCCATCAGATCGCAGCTGAGCAAGGGATCTGGGTCCACAATGGGGGGCAGCGTGTTGATGACCGGCCCGGCATGCAAATGGATCACAAAGAAGACCTGCAGGGACAGGGGGGAAGGGACACGGGTGAGTCCAGGAACTCACTGACGCCAGAGGCACGGAGGAGCCCAGCCAGCCACGGGGGACATGGAAACCGCCGCTCCCCCTGCAGCCAAGGCAAGCAGCCCAAAGGGTCTTTTTGGCAGACTCCCCATTGTGTCCCCTCCTCCTCAAGATGCCCAGGCCTGCGACGGCCACCTCGGAGGCAAAGGGTGGCACCGGTGTGTGTAGGGGTGTGTGTGTGTGTGTGCCTCAACAGCCCTGCCGGGTACCTCCTTGTGCTTCTCCATGGTGGCATAGAGCTTCTGAGAGAGGTCGTTGGAGACATTCGGCATGCTGGGCTTCTTCTTGTTGGCCCTGCTGATGCTGCTCTTGTTCTTGTTGGTCTTCTTGTTGTTCTTCTTCTTGGCATTCTTGCTGTCGCTCTGGGTCCCCTGTCAGAGACAGAAGCTGCTCAGTTGGCCCTACCTTTGGAAGGAAGCCACCATTGCCCAGGGGTGCTGAACAACAAGCCCGTCTTTTATTCTAACACTGCTTTAAGGGGACTTCACATCCTCCCAGGAGATTATCAGCCAGGAGTGGGCTTCTGACCCGTGTGGACCTCCCCCCGGAGAAGGCTGGAACACAGCAAAGCCGGAGACCAGAGGGCCTCTATGATCAGCTGGGAGCCGGATTCTGATCTCCTGCCGCTTCCTGGGTCCTGCCAAAGCTGGGACCCAGTGAAGTTTCCCCAGCCAGGGGAACGGGAGATCCGTAAGGAAGCTGGCTTCTCTGCCCAAACCTAATCTCTGCCGCACCTAATCTGCCCAAACAGGCTGCAAACAGCTGAACGGCCCACTGAGTAACTGGCTGCCGGATCACAGCTGGTGAGGCAGGCTGAGAACGGAGCCAGGGGCCTCCCCCTGCTCAGCGGCAGGAAGGAAGATCGACAGGCCACAAATGAAATCCTTTCCCTCTTTGGGGCCCCCCTGCCCCAATTTCAGGAGGGTGGGAAGTGTTTGTCTGGCTCTTCTTAGGAGCCTTCTCCATCCCTGACAGCCACCGTACAGTGCCAACGCAAGCACTTCACGTTTCAGTCAGTCACCTCTGGTGGTTCACTGGCAGCTGTGCTCTCCTCCTTCTTCCTCTCCTCCTCCTCTTGCTCCAGCTCTTTAATGCTCTCTTCCAGCACGTTGGGCCAAAAGTCCCCTTCAAAGTAAGGGAGTTCTTTGGCACTCGTCAGCCGATCCTCTGTTGCTTGTTTGAAGATGTCCTAAGAAAGACAGGCAGTTTCCTTGTTAGGCATACCTGTGCTCAAGAGATCAGCAATCGCTCACAGTTAAGGACGAAAGAGCGTGCAGAAACAGAAAGCCTTTAATACCAGTCCTATGCTGGTATTTCACTTGGGGATGCTTTGTTATCACATCCTGGCCACAAGTCACAGAAGAAAAGTAAATACACACAAACAAACACATTTATATACAGGAAAGCATCATCAACCAAATCAAGACCTTATTCTATCCATTACACCAGTATTCACAGCAACTGTGAATTCTTACCATCCATCTCTGCTTTAGAGATAATGGAAAGGTAGCAGTTTATAATATTTATTTATTGAGATTTATAATCACCCAATATCTGAGTGTTGACAGCAGAATTTGTAAAATTAAAAAGATAAAAACAGTCAAAATGATAAAACAACAATAAAAAGCAGACTAAAAGTGTATTAAAACAATAGATCAGTGAACAGAGAACAAAATGGAAGATACCAACAGAAATAGATCAAGATGGGTAGCCCTGTTTGCTTGTAGCAGGAGAAAAGAGCCAGAGTCCAGGAGCACCTGAAAGACGAACGAAGTTTGTGGCAGGGCAGGAGCTCTCGTGGGTCGCTGCAGTCACTTCTTCAGATACCCAAAGGAGTGAGCAGTGACTCAAGAAACCTCACCCCCTGCCACAAATGTTTGTTAGTATTTAAAGTGGTACTGGACTCTTGCTCTTTTCTACCAATAGAAATAGCCACATTTGTTTTCATTTCAAACTATTTGCTGCCCATCTGTCTTAAATAACCCCAAAGAAATAATAATTCAACTTTAAAACAAATTCTTTAAAGCGGAACTGTTGTTGATTGTGTGGCCATCTAGACAACACACATGTGGGAGAAAAGGGCACTTGCTAGTCAACCAACCAGACGGCTCTGGAAGCTGCTTTCCTAAAGGGGATAGGACTGTCGTCTTGGCCACCGCTCATGGTCGGTTATTCTGCTGCTTTCAGTGCACTGTGTTCCAATTCTGTTATTCCACACTTTGCATGACACATCATGTCTGACACTATTTTTTTCATTGCCTCTAATTTTTTTTATTCCAGTCCTATCACACTGTATTTGGTATCTCCTACTATCATGCCATCTGATTACATAGTTTCATATTGTGCAATCAGCCCTCAGACAGAGGTGGCTATAACTAAAATAATTAAATAGACATACAGTTATGGTCCCTACAGCATTTCTGCTCTGTGCTGAATCTTCGGGATATACGACTCCTCCAACTGCTGCAGAAACTAGGGATGTGCATTTGGCATTTCCAAGCTGAATTAATACCCAAATCATGTCTTTTTGGCATGATTCAGGCATTAGTTAAGATGATCTGATTCGATTTACCAATAAGAGAATTTTGAATTAATTTGGGAATCCTAATTTTTTCAGCTCCATTACAGTCAATGGCAAATCTCCTAGGGTATATTCAATGGGCTGGGGGGGGGGGGGGGTGAGGTGTAGAGACACTACCTCAAAAGAACCGCCAAGTTTCAAAGAGACTGGACCGGAGGGGTGTGTGTCCAATTCTGTGGGCACCCAAAGAGGATGCCCCCCCATCCTCTGTTGTTTCCAATGGTGGGGGGAAAGCAGTGACTAAGGACAAATTTGTTGGGTTTTGGTATTGTCAGAGTGGCACTGGTTCTGCCGGGCACACTGCACTGGTCCTTTGTACACATGTCCCCTCCCCCACACTCCACTTTCGACAGCAGATATTGTCTGGGAGAATCTGCTGGGCTTGTTGTACGCCTGCCTTGCTTCCCCCCCCCACCATTAGAAATAATGGAGGAAGGGGGCACCCTCTTTGGGTGCCCATTAAATTGGACACCTTAATCCAATCTTTTTGAAACTTGGCGGTTCTTTTGCGGAGAGGCTCCAACAGCTACACTGCAGATTTGGTGCCTTTACCTCAAACTCTCCCCCCCCTACCCCCCAGCCCACTGAATATACCCTATGGGATTTACCATTGACTATAACGGAGCTGGAAAATTTGGGATTTCTGAATTTTACCCAAATTCCAATACAATACTGATATTGGAATTCGGGTTTTCAAGGCAACACCGAATTTTTAAGGGTCCAAAACCTCCGAGTCTGCAAAATGCCGTTTGTTTCCTTGCCGCCTCTCAAGTGGAGGACTCGCTGGAGAAGTCTGGACCGAGGCATGCGCCTTCCATGCCTCCCACTCCGACCCTGACCTGACCAAGAGGCCTCACTGCAGCAAAGATCCCATCAGCTGACCCCGGCCCTCCCGGGAGAGGGAGCTCCTTGTCAACTGCCTGTCCCGCTCCATTCTCTCTCCAATTAAAGCCCCTGTAGACAAGCCAAACTGCAAGTCTGTAACCATCAGTGCGACAGACAGAGAACCACGCCTCAACAAGCACGCAGTTACCTGTAACTGCTGCTCTTCAAGTGGGCATCTGTACATTCACGGGGGGGGGGGCACACCCACTGGCACTGCAGCAGGTTCTCTTTTTTTGGGGGGGGGAGGAATGGAATGGGAAGGCATGACTCCCCTTCAGGCACGTGCAGCCTAATCTGCATCTCTGAGGGGAGGGGTGGGTTTCATGCTCAAATTCCCACTCAAAACATTTCTAAATCAATGCTCTGTGCAGATGGCTACGCCCACAGGCTCACTAGACGAACAACAGTTCTAAGTAGGCAACATGCTTCATTACATTCATCAGTAACACAATTAATTTATCAGTAAAATGGGCAAGTCTGAAAGTTGTACTTGACTTTTTTCAGGTGGCTAGCCTTAGGAAACTATATAAAAGGTAAAGGTTCCCTTGCTCGAAAGCCAGTCGAGTCCGACTCTAGGGTTGCGGTGCTCATCTCCGTTTCAAAGCCGAGGAGCCAGCGCTTTCTGAAGACGCTTCCGTGGTCATGTGGCCGGCATGACTAAACACCAAGGCGCACGGAACGCTGTGACCTTCCCACCGAAGTGGTCCCTATTTATCTACTTGCCATTTCTTGCTTTCAAACTGCTAGGTTGGCAGGAGCTGGAACTAGAGACGGGATCTCACTCCGTCATGCGGCACACTCAGGTCTCGAACTGCTGAACTACCGACCTTCCACAGCCTGCAGTTCAGCGTCTTCACCACTTGAGCCACTGCAGCTCCAGGAAAGTGTGTATATCTACACCACACTTGTATAAACAGCAAAGATGGAGAAAAAACAGGTTGCTTACCAGTAACTGGTGATCTTCGAGTGGTCATCTGTGCATTCACACCAATGGGATCTAGTGTGCCTGTGCTGGATCTGCCGGTGCCTAGCAAGCTCTCTTAAAAGGATTTTCGTGCCTGGCCCAACTGAGCATGCTCAGGAGCCCCAGTGAGCATGCCCAGAAGGGCAGGCACGGACATCCCGCCAGTTCCTACCAACCGCCGCGTATCAATCTCCTAATAAAAGAGGTAAAAGAAGACAGCAGCGGGGCAGGAGGGCGGGTGGTGTGAATGCACAGATGACCACTCAAAGATCACCAGTTACTGGTAAGCAACCTGTTT